AAAAGAAAATGCATTTAATATACCTAACCCACTGAACATCATAGCTTAGCCTAGTCTATCTTAAACATGTGCAGGGCACATTATCCCTCAAAATGCTGGCAACATGGTAGCCTGTAGAGTATGAATTGGTTACCGATGTGCTCACGGGGCTGACTGGGAGCTGTGGCTTGCTGCTACTGCCCAGCTCAGGAGAGAGTGTCTTACCATATGTTGGTAGCCTGGGAAAAGATCAAAATTCAGAACTCAAAGTACGGTTTCTACTAAATGCGTGTTGCTTTCACACCACCATAAAGTTGAAAAATTGTTAAGTCGAACCATCATGAATTGGAGACTGTCTGAATTCTCAAGAACCAGGTTGCACAGATCAGGCTGGAAATAAGAGAGGAGGAAAAAGAAAGGTCAGCAGTTCTCCCTCTTGGCATGGGGAGAAATCCAAGAAGACAGGAAAAGGGCAGAGTGCATCTGAAATAGGTTTTACCCATTTTCTTCCCCATTTCCTTATTTCTGAAAACCTGGTAACATATAATGAATGGGTAGATATTTGTTTGTTTTTTTGTTGTATGTTATTTTATCCCATTTTCCCCAACTACTAACACAAAACAAAATCATGGAAACAATCTCCTACTTGTAGTTCTAGATAGCATACGATAAAAAATGTTTGCATATATTTAATCAAACAGAATAGTTGTGCATCTTTTGATTATCTGTCATTAAAAAAAAAAGCTATACTTAATTTCAGCTGTTGGAAAATACCTGACAACTTCAGGTGACAGAATAACTTTTTTTTTTTTAATAAGATGAAAAGGAATCACGTATCTGAGGCAGATGTTTTTTAAGTAACAGCACTGAAGGCTGCGGATCCTGAGGTCTGAGGCGTCATTTATCCTCTGGGCAGAGCTCAGGGGCCTCCTCCCAGCTCCCCACTTGCCTCTTCTTAGTCCTCATCACATTAGGTGATAAGCATTCATGCCTTCCTCCAGGAAATATTTTGAGTACCTTCCATGTGGCCAGAAGGTGTCAAGGTACTAGGA